CATTCCCCCTTAATCATGATGGGTGATTTTAGGGATGAATGGCTGAAATTTATGTTCTCTCTCACCTCGTAGATTGCCTAAATATTTTGGATACTGCTGAATCCTAATCTAACTGGGACTCCTTAAGACCTTTGAGGCCTATAAATAGGAGGACCTCCCTTCATTCTCTAAATCAGTTCTATCTCTCCATCTCTCTCCTCCATGCCACCTTCATCTGTCTCATCGCTCTCTCACTAGCTCCTCTCTCTTCGCTCTAAAAGGGTAACATGCCACCCCAGAACGCACGTCAAAAGAGGGCTACGAAGAGGGGCATGCCCCCCCCTAATTTTAGATAGGGGAGGTGCCATGTTGTGGCATGCCCCAAGGTGAAAAAGGGCTTTTTGTGAAACCCTAATTGTTACCCATTCTCTTAGCTGCATAGTTTTCAAATAAGGGTGTTCCGGAGGTGCTTCTCGATTTTAGATTGGTGGATTCAACAACACTAGGAATCAGGTGCGCCATTGGCTAGGTGATCGGGTATGGGGTGTGCTTGGCCCTAAGGGGGTAACCCTAAGCAAAAGTCAGTAAGTTTTCCTGCAGTTATTTAATTTAATTTTCTGCAGTGCTTGTCTTATTTTATTCCCTAAAGTTATTAGTTTATATTCAGTTTGAATAAAAGTTTATTGTGTCAGCAGGTTTAAAGATCCTAGATTGTAGTATGCTTGTTTTTATTGTATTGTGGCCTTAGAAAACCAAGATGCATGGCCCTAATCAACACCACCTATCAAGTATTCCCATTTAGTCCCATTTTTCAGATGTCATTCGTATGCATACCCATTTCCATAGTCCACAAACTCGAGAGACTCATAAGGCTTTGTACTGGTGCCAGTGGAACTCACAAGATGTGACAATGTCTACAAACAAAAAAAGACAGGTGGATTGGGTATTAGAAGACTGAAGAGATTAACATTGCTTGTTTGGTAAATGGTGTCGGCACCCTGCCCCTCCCACCAGGATATGCTCTGGCATGCATTCATAAACAACTGCTATAGGTCCATCTTACTTGGTTCCTATAGTTGTTGTTAGTTCCAGATCATTAAGAGCTTGAAGAAGCATCTGTCAAATCAAAGACTTCTACCCATACATACATTTTGCAGCAAAAAAATGAACAATGCATAAGGTTCTGGAGACTTTTGGACAGGTTGAACCACCATTGAGCTTGTGTTTCACCATCCATCGCCAATTTCTGCGAACCAAGTGGTTACCATCGCAAATTGTTTTGAGGTCTTAGGGGTCCACCTTGTATGGGCCCTTTTTGGGTGGAACCTATTTGCAGAGGAGGAAGTTGAGTTCCTAAAGCTCATGGAATCTTTAAACTCTGGTCATCTGAGGGCAGGAACCAGACAAACATCATCTGATGCCCCAAACCTTTAGGCTCCTGCTATGATGTTCTTGTCCCATCCTGCCCAGCAACCACTTCTTGTCAACAAGGTGTAGTCCATCCCACACCACCCAAAGTCCACTCTTTTGGTTGGTGATTTTGAACAAAGTTCTCACTTTGGTCTGCTTGTGGAGAAGAGGTATACTGATGAGTAAAGAAGAGTAGGAAAATGTCATGTTCTCTTCATCCTAAGCTATCCTGTCAACTCTGGCCCTTTTTCATGAAACTTTTTGAACCCTCTTGAGTCATCCCTGTCTCTATCAAAAGTCATTTCCAGTCATGGCTGCCCCCCAACCCAACCACAAAAAAAAAAAAACTATGTCAGGGCTTAATCCTTTGGTTATTCACCATATTATCCATTTTCTAGTCCATGTTGTTAGAGGAAAATCACCGAACATTTGATAGTTTAGAGGGTACACATCGAATCCATAATTTTTGACCATCTCCTTGCCTCCAAATCGCAGAGAATGCTTTGGCTTCTCCTCTTGAGACTTCATGTCGAATCACTTGGTTTGGAATATAGTTACCCGAATCGTGTACCGAGGTTGTGATTCCAAATTCCGGTTTGGAATCGCGATTCTGCGGTTCTTAGAATGAAACACGATTCTAGAAGATAGGAATCACGTTTCCAAGTTTCTTGAAACGCATTCGTGATTATTATTTGAATCCCGATTCCTAGAAGCTTGGAATCTAGATTCCATATTGCAGAATTTACAATTCTTAGTTGCACAACAATGCGATACAATGTGTGCGAGATGTTGATTCCAATTTTTTAGGAATCGCGAATCCATGTTGTTTGGAAGCTATCCATATAATCAAAAGGTGCAGTTCATAGATGCACTGAACAATGTTTTGATCAACATCGAATCAAGTTCTGATGGCATGGAATCAAGATTCAAACACAAATGTTGAATGATATATGTTTACAAATTGTATGTTGCCAGGGAAGTTCCAAGAACCCTTTTGTATCATATTACATTTTGTTACAAGGTTAAATACCGATGATTTGGGTTTCGGGACTGTGATGTTGTGAGAGCCAAAAAGCCTTAATAAATTTTTGAGATGAATCTATGTACAATAAATTCTGCGAAGTTATCCAAACGATTTATCAATTTATAAATCACGTAATGGGTGGCAGCCCCACCTTAAGGTAAGACGTTTGGGTTGCAGCCCAAATGTAACGTGATTGGCCTTGGGAATTGTCCTAGAAATATGGACTCCAAATTTCAAGATTGTAAAAAATATAAAAATTTCAATCTTTTCTCACAAAATACTTCTCTCATATATTGGAGGGGATTGGCTCGATTCCTGAATTGTGGGAATTTCAAATCCAAATCGATGTGGATAGCGATTCTAGTAATGTTGGAATCATGATTCCTATTTCGTCAGATTATGATTCCAGAAGCGCCATTAAACAGTTTGGGGTCGTGTGTAATTCTTGAAAGGTTGGAAACTCGATTCTATCATGATGGGCTACCGATTCCTACAAATAGGAATCACGGTTCCTACTTTATTGGATCGCAATTCATATTATTCAGAATCATGCCTCCAATGATTTTCATTGTATAGTCGGGAATTATGAGATTAAGAATCATCTGGCACACGCGATTCCGTGAATCATATGCATTTCCATCAACTATAGTTTGGACCTTTCCTAGTTCTAGTACATGATCTGCTTCATTAATCCACGAACCTCGCGAGTTATTAAGTTAAAATTTGATGGTTGTTATGTAGGCAACCTTGGCTCTGCTGATGTCAGTGGCTATTTCCCATATGATCAAGGGGATACATTGCTCACCAACTCGAGCCCGTTCATATTGTGGATTCTAAAATGAGGGAGGTGTTGGGCCTTCATGTGGCCTTGCACAATTTGATCACTCCTGGGATTTCGGCCTCATTTTAGAAGGCTACTCACTCAATGTTTTTGCCTGGGCCTATATTTCCTCTTCTATACCTGACTGTTTGATATTATTTTGCTATTATATCAACCCCTTGAAGTGTCCTTTGCACGCAAGGAGGGGAGCGAACTCCATTGAGGACACACTGGCTAAAGAAGGCATGCTCAAACCCAACCTATCTATCCCTAGATCAGCCCTCGCCCTTAGAATCATCCCATTGCCGTTTTGCAAATAGCATAGGCCCTTGATTTTTTTACACCCTATCATTCTTGCAGAAATTTCAAAATATCCAAATTTAAAAATGCAATACAAAGTTAACATTTCAAAAATAAATAAATAAAGTTTTTGTGAAACTCCTTTAGATGTTCTCCTTTGATCATTTCCCAAAAATCTTCACAAAAGTGCATGACAACCATAACATGTAAGAGCCCCCCTAGTTGAGCTAAGTACTTCTTATTTGACAATGTTCTCCAAAATGGGTTTCTCTATACAAATTTCACTAGTTGACACTACCTTGAAATTTTATTTGTTATCTGAGGGAGACAAAATTGTGATTTCAATACCGCACAGTTTTCAATGAATCCAGCGCTGCCATTTTCAGCTTTCTCCTGATTAGGTACTTTACTCTTCACAGCTATGTCTATGCCCTGGGTTATTGGCTTTGCGGGTGCTTCCTAATTTATGAGTCAAACTTGTGTCTCATTCACCTTCAGCCTTCTACTCTAAAAATTCATAAAGTTTGACCTTCGAATTCACCATGCACCATTTTTCCTCTACAGTTAGTGTCATCACAGCACTTTCTCATTTATTCCCCTTGTGGGCATCTCTCATTTATGAATCAAACATGTGCTCCATTAACCTTCAGCCTCTTACCCTTAAAATTGTGAAAATCTTATCTTAGAATTCACCATGCACCTTCTCTCTCATCTGTCAGTGTGATCACTAGTCTATCTCTGCATTATCTTATGAACGATACTTCTGGTAAGGACAATTTCTTCTGTCAAGTCTACAAAATTCTCTTTCTATACAAATCTTTGGATTCTCCTTCAATACTGTTGCTTTCCATGGATTATAGATTTTCAACCTCAGACTCTAATTGGATCCACCTTCTTTGCATACTCCCTCTGGGTATCATGCTAAGCCTTCATATGTCACACAATCTCCCTTTGTCATTGGCAATTCACATAGAAGTTGGAACTGAGTGTCTGTCCGGCAAGAATAAATAAATAATTACCTTTGTGTTTTTCAATTTAGTTCCATCCCTTTCGGCCAAGTTTTTTGTTGACTCACGACTTAAAATCTATTTTATAATAACCGTGATTCCAGACTATACTGATTTACATTTGAGAATACAGAAACATGTCCTTATAGAACTGGATTCTTGCCTCAATGCCTCCTTTATATCATAAAGTTTGGAAGTTTTGAACCATTTCTGGTTGTTCTAATAGCGCACTTGTCTCTCCAAACTTTTAACATGGTTACTTTTCCATTTTCATGACGTTGAACTGAATTCTCTAGCTGCAGTTTTTTTAGAGCTCTTATATTGCTCTATTGTCTGTTGCTCAATTTTTTTTTCCCATGGAGCACTTATTAGTTGGTGTACTTTTTTTGGTTATATATTGCAAGGGAATTCCATTGTGCATCTGGAGTATAACATTGACTGTTGTTCTCTCTTATATCAGGTACTTGGAGCTTGATATATCTGAATTTTTACTCGGAAATGTCATGGATGCGGTTGTTAGCCAAGTGATGATTTTGCTGAGAGAGAAGGATCTGCAATTAATACGTGCAATTCCCGAGGAAATTAAGACAATGTCTATATTTGGTGATCAAGTTAGACTTCAACAAGTGCTAGCGGACTTTCTGTTGAATATTGTTCGGTTCGCCCCATCACCTGAGGGTTGGGTAGAAATTGAAGTTAAGCCATATTTGAAGCTAATCTCTGATGGGATGGGGATTGTGCATCTAGAATTCAGGTATTGATTGCCCTACTAATTTCTTCATCAAGAGGTGATCTGGTATTATTTGCCTAGCGCCTAAAGCGAAAGGTGCTGTTAGCATTAGCATTAGCAGTTGTTGATTCATATTATCTTTGGCCACACATATTAGTTATCTTTTCCCCACCCCAACACCCACCACCCCGAAAAAAAAAAAAAAAAAAAATGGTAGAATAAGTAGTCTGAAAGAAATTCTTATAAGTTAGAAATTTAATAATGGATGAGCTTAGCTGTTGCCCCATATCTGCCTGTCTACTCTTTGAATAATATTTAAGGATAGACAGTAAGCTGTTTAAGGTGCTATAAACACACATGTTTCGGGATACTGCAATTTTTTTTGTGGGCTGGGGTTTTGTAAGGAATAAGAAAATATATTTCACTTTTTTTGTTGGTGATAAAAATCAGCTTTTAATGCCTTTAAGACATGGATTTGGGATCTTCAATATCTATCTAAGAATTGGGAATGGTTTATCTCTCTATGATCACTAACTTATATGGGAGGAATCTCATTCCTGGTAACCAATTTCTTGAAAAAAGAACAGTTGTCTAATGTGCAGCTCAACCCAACCACAGGAAAAACAATGCTAAATCTATGAAATTACGTGCTAGGTTCTTGTGCAATCCACATGAGGAATCTTCGAACCATTTTAGGGTTGCTAGAATATTTAATAGAGCCAAAGTTTCAATAAACTGATGCTACGTGGGACTTGGCCTAGTATAATCCTAATTGATATGTTGTAGTACTATTTTGTTAGATTTTAGGGCTACAAGAACAAAATAACAAATCTACAATAATAGTTTAGTTTGATAACTGAACTCCACTGTTTCTATAATGTATCCATTGATTCTGCAGTTTGATTCCAGAGTCCTTACAAGTTAGTGCTTGAAAGAACCCAAACATTTCAATTCCTCTAGCAGTATAACTGATGACATTGACATTTAAAGTACTAAACTATAAATCCAATGAATGTCATGGAGGATTGAAATCGTAACCCTACTTTCCATATTGAGAGTGTCTCATCCGCATGGTGATTGAATAAAATGAACTTATGAATTTGGCTTCCACGTTCCCCCATCCCAAAGTCGCCAAGTCTACTCCATGGTCCACGATTGTTAGCGTTGCCACAACTGTTGTCGGAGACTTTCCCTTCTAGAGCAGGCCTCGCCATGCGACCTGATCTTTGCCTTCCCCCATCCAGTTCTCTCTCCTTTCCACCCTCAGCTCGAATCCCTCTTCGTCCTTTGGCCCTTCCACATCTTTCCCCTTACTTCATGCCCCTCGGCTCTTAACCGATCCAGACAATTTCCTACATCCAAGCCTAACACCTCAGCCGCTACCCTAATGCACCCTTTGACTCCATTGTCCCCCCTTCCAAATCCTCCTGCCCTGCTCTATCCCCTCCTCCCATCCCCATGCACTCTGGGTTCAGACTCAACCCTTAAGAGTATTCCCCCTGTGTTTTATTCCCTGCCACCTCCATTGCCCCCCCCTCCCCCACCATGGCTATAGGTACTCCTTGCCCTGTCCCACCCTTTGGCTTTCACCCTCCCTACTCAATCCCATGCCACATCCGTCTACCTACTGCACAGCACGGCCCCACCCAATTATCTAGCCTACCTCACACACACCAATCCTTTTGGGGCCTTCCTCCCACCTCTCCTCCACCGCTGGTCTCAACCAACGCACTGTTGACCTATGCTGAATGCCTAACTTCGATTGCTCCAGGTTGTCCCTCATCCCAGCAGCAGCCACCCCACACCTACGTTCCTGCCCCCCCCACCTATCCCTTATTCCTCGCTCCAAAGCCAGAGTGGTTACGTCTCTGAGGTCGACCATCAACATTGCCTCACCACAGACCCCTTGGCAGCTTCTCACCCCCTGCTTTCCCTCCACACCACCGGGATGACTCTCATTCCAGATTCCTCTGGGCAGCCAAAACCCTCCACCCCTTCTATGTTACAGCCCCTCCCTATATTAGGAGAACTCCAATTCCTCCAAGGACAACCCCCAGGCAAACTCGTCGGCTTCAGTGGACTTTGCCTTCGTCCAAGACATGGATAATGCCCAAGGGGATGTGCTCGAGGTCCTCAAAGTTATGGGATTCAAATTGCATGGCCCAAAAGAAGCATTGGAGGCGTTCATCTCTTCAAACTCTCGCAATGGAAACAAAGCTAGCACAAAAGGAAAAGAAGAGCTTTTCAACCTCGCCTTTGGTGTGAATTATGACAAGGGAGAGTCTTCGGATGTCCCATCCAATTCCTCTACCTACCTTGCCCACTCAGACAGGCACCTTACTAGACAGCAGGCGCTCCTTGCGGGGGACCCAACTTCCCCTCCCCCTCATCATTGGGATCCTAATTTGGAATATCCGTGGCCTAGGCCACAACAATAAGAAAAACCTTGTGTGATTCCAAGTTCTCTCCCTTCGTCCTTACCTGTGTAGAAACTAAGCTGCCTTCCCCAACCCTTCACCTTGTCCGTAAAATCTGGGGCTTCAGATCCTGCGATTGGGCTGATCAGGAGGCGCTAGGGGCCTCCAGGGGCATTTGGGTACTCTTGGACCCTTCTTTCCATTCGCTACTAGCCTCTCTGATAGGTCAATTCTCCATCACTGTGATCCTATCCAGAATTTCCGATGGCGTGCTGTGAAAGTGCATCATGGTCTATCGCCCAAATTTTGACCACCTCAGGGATTCCTTTTGGGGTGAACTCCAAACCCTGGCCCCAATGGCTCCCCCTCTTTGGTGTTTAGGAGAGGGGGGAGGACTTCAATGTCACCAGGTGGTCGTCCCATGATCGCATTTCCAACCACAGTATTTCCCCTGCCACCCAATACCATCTCTTGGATATTTCCCTCGAAGGGGCTCAATTCATGTGGTCCAACCATTCTGCCAACCCCTCTCTCTAAGGTCGATAGGTTTCTTACCTCCTTAGAATGGGATCAACTCTTTCCCGGTGCCCACTCTTCCTCCTTCCAAACCCACTTCTGATCATCGTCCCATCCTTCTGGACACATGCATTTAATGGGGGTCCAATGCCCTTCTGCTTTGAACTATCTTGGCTCCAGGAGCCTAATTTCAGCAACCTGGTGCTATCCTCGTGGGAATCTTACACACCCATGGTTCATGGATGGCCATGCTTTCGACTCTCATGGAAGCTTCGACTTCTGAAAGCCTCCCGCAAGTCATGGAGTCACCAACTCCCGAGCAACTTCCAGTCCCAGAAGGCAGTGCTACTCCAGTCCATTCAATCTTGGGTCTCTATTGAAGAGTCCAGACCTTTAACCCCTGTTGTGCTTGACCTTAGGTCCAAGGCAAAGCTCGATTACCTCACTCTCCTCTGCAAAGAAGAGATTTATTGGTCCCAAAGAGCCAAGGATTAAGTGGCTCAAGCTCGGAGACCTCAACACAGGGTATTTCCACAAGATAACTAACTGCAGGAGGAGAGAAAAGTCCATATCCCATCTCTAAGTGGGCGACACCATCCTATACCAACCTGGCCTCATCGACTAGGCAGCCATAGACTTCTTCTCCCATCTGCTCTCCTCCCTGTCAGGTGATAGACCCGCCTTGGCAGATCTCTCCTTTCTCACCTTACCCCCTGACCAATCTTGTTGGTTGGATCTCCCTTTATCTGATGAGGAGATTCTCGAAGCCTTAAAAGATCTCGGCCATGATCAGGCCCCTGGCCCTGATGGTTACCCCGTTGTGCTGTTTAAAACCTTTTGGGACACCCTTACGGCCAGACATACTAGCGTTCTTCACCAAATTCCACTTTAGACGGGTGATCAATAAAGCCTTGAATGCACTTTCATCGCTTTCATCCCTAAGATAGAAGGTGCTGAAGATCTAAAGGATTTTAGCCTGGTAAGCCTAATCAATATTTCCTATAAGCTAGGACATTTCCCCCACTCAGGGGACTTTATCAAGGATCGCCAGATCCTCGATGAGGCACCCATAGCCCACGAGTGCATCCATACTCGCCACACCTCTAAGAACCCCAGCCTAGTCATTAAACTTGATTGGAAGAAAGCCTACGACCATTTAGAGCGGTCCATTCTGGATGAGACCCTCAATTCGATGGCCTTTGGGCCCCAGTGGAGGAGATGGATTCGCAACTGTATATCCACCCTCGTCTTCTTAGTGCTCATCAATGGATCCCTAAAGGGCTTCTTGCCTGCGAGTAGAGGCCTCCGCCAAGGGAATCCTCTATCCTCGAAGATGTACCGAGCGGGTCTTCTCAAAGGCTTCCATTCTAGTTGCCATGGTCCTATCATTTCACACCTTTAGTACGCAGATGACACCCTCCTCTTCTGCGACCCCTTCCCCCAACAGGGTGATACCTTGCTCATCTTTTTCAAGTGCTTCTAAATGGCCACAGGCTTCAGCGTAAATCTAGTCAAATCCAAGATGATGGGGTTATGCACATATCCTCAACAAGTCCCAGCTATTGGCAGATAGGTGGGGTTGTTCAATACATGACCTACCTTTTACATAGTTTGGTCTCCCACTGTGCCTTGGTATGCTATGTCTTCTCCACTGGAGCCACATCATTGACAAATTCAACCAGGGGCTCGTGAGTTTGAAAGGCAGGTTCCTCTCTCAGGCTGGAAGACTTACCTTAATCAAGGCTACCCTCTCCAATACCCCGGTGTATCAAATGTCTCTTTTCCATCTTCCAACCTCAGTCACTGCCAGGCTCGAGAAGAAAATGCGAGATTTCTTCTGGTCGGGAGAAGGGAAACCCAAATGCCACCTCATATCATGGTCCATACTGTGCACACCTAAGGCCAAGGGGGTTTGGGTATCCGCAAACTCAGATCTCACAATACCGCCCTTCTTTGCAAGTGGTGGTGGAGGTTTCTACTCTACCTAATCAACTGTGGAGAGATGTTATTCGGCATAAATACTTCTATGGAGTAGATACTTGGGACCCTGTGTGCATGACTACCGGCAACATCTCCGGCTTCTGGAGGTCCCTAATCCACTGCCACAACCTTTTTCTCCAACATATTAGGTTCTGCACGCAGGAGGGGAAGAGGATTTGTTTTTGGACTGATATTTGGATTGGCCATACCCCCCTTAGGGAACAGTTCCCCAACCTCTTTTGTCTTGCTCGCGATGCCAATTCCACTATGGCCGACAATTTCAGCATCTCCGACTCAGTTAGAACCTGGAACCCCAACTTCAAAAGACATTGCTGACCATGAGTTGGGAATGGCCGAACACCTACACCAAATGTTCTCCCCCCCCCCCCCCAATCAGGGGGCGACAAAATCAACTGGTCACCTGCTACGTCTGGAAACTTTTCAGTTTCCTCTTTCTTTCGAACCATTCCTTCGCCACCTACCCTATCACATCCCCCCCTACCCCTGGCGTCCAAAGCTTGGTTTTCTTCAATCCCACCAAAGATCAGAGTACTTACCTGGTTTGCACTCTTGAAGAGTGTTGGCGGCTGGTCAAATTCAAAGAAGGGGTGTTCCTTCACCCAACCGGTGTGCTATGCATCTGGAGGCCGAAGAAACAAATGTATACCTCTTTTTATTTACTGTGAAATAGCTAGCGCTGTACGGAGTGACGTGCTTTATTTATTTAACTGGTCCTGGGTGACCCACAATCCATCCCTCAACTCTTTCAAGCCATTCTCTACACCCCTTGGCCTAAAGCAGGAAAGCTTCTTTGGTAGGCTTCAATTGCAGCCACACTCTGGGTGATTTGGATGGAAAGAAACAACAGAATCTTCAGGGGTGAGGGAACATCAGTGACCTCAATGATTGAAAGGGTCAGAATTTTGGGCTCCTTCTAGGCCATGAACCACAAACTCTTCAAAAATTTCTCCTACTCTGATCTTTATAGTAACTGGCAAGCTCTTTTGAAATTGAGAGACCTCCTAGGATCTCTCGGGCCTCCCTGTGGGGACGACTGGAAATAGCGACAACCAAAAAGAATTTCGATGGTTGCTGGCTTGGCAACCCTAGACCTTCCGGTATTGGGGGTGTTTTTAGATCTCATGAAGTTCCATCCTTTTATCATGCTCTCTTCCAAACGGCACCACAGACTCTACCCTCTCAGAGGCCCTTGCCCTCCTGAAAGGGCTCTGAAATTTCAACCCTAGCTGGAGCCCTGATCTAATGGTCGAAGGAGATTCTAGGAATGTCATCGCATGGGCCAGCGGCTTTGCAGACTGCCCATGGCAACTACACCACATTTTTGATGAAGTTTCACACATTTGCAGGGGCCTTTGGGTATCTTGGCAGCACATCTATAGGGAAGCCAATGAAACCACAGATTCTTTGGCTAGGGAGGGTGCTCTTTCCGCCTCTAACGCGGGAACAGTGCCTACATCTTCACTGCATCATGAGCCCCTAGCCCCCTAGATTGTTTTCTTTAAGGCCCATTGTATCTCTTCCCTGTCGCCTTAAAGCATTTTTTGAGCCCTACGGGGTTTTTGTATAGGGCACTAGTGAGAGTGGTTGCCTCATTTTTTGTACACTTCATCTTACACAACACAAAGTGAACATATTAAAAAAAAAAAACTGTTGTCGTAGTCTTCGTTATCTTTACTGTTGAATGTTATTTCCTCTTATCATTCTCTTCCTCCTCTCATTCTTCGTTTTCTTTTTCCACTGGTTGCTTCACATGTTGGTGAGATTAAGGTTCTTATTCATCGTACTTATTTATATCTCCAACTCTTAGTTTATTATTTTTTACTTAAGATGGGCCTTTTTTCCATTCACCATTTTTCCATGGGTCCTTCAGAAAAATCTGGTTCCAATAAATTGGCTTGTAACCTCTTATTTACCTCTTCACTTCCTCAGCAAGCTTAAATAATAATACACAAGATCGTCTTCTCAAGTTCCATAGTAGCTAACCATTCCTCTTATTTGTATGAAATCTAACGGAATGTGCTCCTGTCGAACTTGGAACACAAAGATGAACCAAAATAGTTTGATGACGACAAATGTAAGGGTGTCTTTGCATTCTACATGAAGCGGATCAATGTGAGGGATCCATTTCATTGTATTGCCCACTTAGTAGAGACATCATAGTTAATATTTACAAGTTGATGATAGATATTTTTCTTAATATGCATATGAATTAAAACAAAACAGATCACTTGGTCTTTAAGCTTCTAGTCCATTAAAATTAAGATTTTGACTTTTTCAAGATGTCTGGGATTCCGATTCCCCTTCCCCCTTTTTACAAAGTTTAAATGACTGAAAACTTTCAGAATAAACAAGGATTTATAACTTTTATTTACTGAAGCCAAACCTGGACTTTTGAGATTCTTCCTTAGTTCATGATAATTCTTTCTTTTTCTCACATGTACTGCCCATAATTCCATAAAAATGTTGTCAATTGCTGTTTGATATCTGTCAGAATAACTACAAATATCATACTGATGGTTAGCCATGCTTTGCCTTATTGATTTTTTTCATAAACTAAAAGAGTTATGTGCTATATCTTCTGTTTCTCTGCTTGCATGATGCATAACTTTTTGTCATTTGGACACTTGGAGTGTAATCATATATCTTTTTAGATACTGCATACCTTTTATTGCACTATTCCTTATGTATTCACCTTTTTGCTGAATGTTTTATACTAATCCTCAAGTATTTTGGTTTCTCGCCGTATGATGTATATTCACAATATTGGTCAATTGAAATATAATGTTCTTTCTCTTAGGATAATGTGAACCCATTCTCTCTCATCTGTATAATGCGTTCTGTGAATGTAGAATGGCATGCCCTGGTGAGGGCCTCCCGTCAGATCTGGTCCAGGATATGTTCCATAGAAGCAGGTGGGTGACCCAAGAGGGCCTAGGTCTGAACATGTGTAGGAAGATTCTCAAACTAATGAATGGAGAGGTCCAATACATCAGAGAGTCTGAGAGGTGCTACTTCCTCATCATTGTTGAGCTTCCAAGTCCTCCTCTTGATGCTGTTTCCTGAAGTATCGTTAAGAAAACCAAGCAATACCTTAACCCTGGCCTGCAACATATGAACCTTTAATTGTGAGGTCTCTGTTTCCTTATGGAATTTCTGTGGTAAAATAAGTATGTGGGTTAGTGAGCCATGTATCGCTAGGCCATGACCCATTCATCTGAGGTAAAATAAGATGACGGTTCAATAAGTCATGCAACGCTAGGCCATGACCCATCAGAGTTTAGAGGATTCTCGGCCTATTTGGTTTATCCTTGCTCTAGTCGTATACGTTTTGACATGGTTTTAACGTGTTTGGAAATCTAATCTACATCTGCTGCATACTTAAGTTCGCGTATGGCTTTTCTTGATCGACTGGATTTCACCACTTATCATCAGATGGTCCGGCAGAATTAGATGGTTCTCTCTGATTCTTCTGTAAGTATAATTGTATAATTATTTGTCATACACTGTTTAATGGTGGAACTGTCTCAGTGTAACTTGCTAAGATTTTCTCTCCCCCCCTCCCTTCTCTTTTTTTTTTTTTTTCTTTTGAGGCAAGTAGGTTAAGTGCCTACAATCTGATAAGAGATGTTTCCTGGAATGTATGAGATGATGCTATGTAGATTGTGTTGCGGGTCTGACATGTAATAAATTTGGTGCAGCTAGATATAGAGTTTCCTGTGAGCTTCTCCTTTGGAGTAGATTTAACTGGGCTTTTAAAGATGCTCTTTTGTTATCCATTTTTGTAATGGGAAATATTTATATAAAGCATTAGTGCACCGCAAAAACA